TCATCTACTTAAAACCGATACAACTGAAAAGTTAAAGAAGACTTAATTAATGGAGAGATGTTCCACATTCATAGACTAAAAGACTCAATATCATTAAGATGGAAATTTTCCCAAACTGAACTACAGATTCAACATAAACCCTACTATCCAAAATATATAAATAACTTACAACTCAACAAAAAAAGACAAACAGCCCAATTAAAAACTGGGCAAAGGACTAGTATAGCCATTTTCCAAAGAAGATTTACAAATGGCCAATAAGCACATGAAAAGATGTTCAACAACATTGGTCATTCGGGAAATGCAAATCAAAACCAAAATGAGATAACCACCACTTCACACCCACCAAGATGACTGTAAACCAAAAAATAAAACCAGTGTCAGCAAGGATGTGGGGAAATTGGAACACTCATACACTACTGGTGAAAAAGTAAAATGGTTCAGCTGCCATGGAAAACAGCTTGGTGGTTCCTCAAAATATTAAACATAGAGTTACAATATGGCCCAACAATTCCACTCCTGGGGTATACCCAAAAGAGTTGAAAAAAGGTTCTCGAACACATGTACGTGCATGATCACAGCAGCAATATTCGTGATAGCCAAAAGTTGAAAATAACTCAAATGTCCATCAACTGATGGACAGACAAAATATGATATATCCATAAAATGGAAAATTATTCAAGCATAAAAAGGAGTGAAGACTGATACATGCTACAAAGTAGATGAACCTTGAAAACATTATGCTCAGTGACAGCAGCCAGACTCAAAAGGACACATAATTCTATGATTTCATTTATATGAACTGTCCAGAATAGGTAAATCCAGAGACAGAACGCAGAATGGTGGTGCCTACAAGGTGGGAGTATGGGGGGGAGGGTGCAGAGCAACTGCTTCATGAGAACAGTGTTTCCTTTTCATTTTCACTGAAGCCAGTAGATGACCTAAGAAAAAATTTCAAGGAGCAGATATCTGAAACAGGCTTTATGAACCAGTTTGTCGCTGAGGAGTAGATTGGTTGTTTGGTTGGTGGCTTGGCTATTCATTGATATCCACCAGTCACGGAGGCAATCCTTTAGACCTGGTTTGTGTCCCATCAATAAAAAATAACTTTATGAACCAGTTTGTCGCTGAGGAGTAGATTGGTTGTTTGGTTGGTGGCTTGGCTATTCATTGATATCCACCAGTCACGGAGGCAATCCTTTAGACCTGTTTTGTGTTAGGTGTATTAAGAGTTGTTCACGGTTTAGATAGCTGCAGTTGTATCAATTTAATTAATTTATTTTTTATTGATGTGAGAGTCACATAAAATGAACCATTTTAAAGTGACCAGTTGAGTGGCATTCAGTACATTCATTTTATGTTATATGACTCTCACATCAATAAAAAATAAATTAATTAAATTGATACAACTGCAGCTATCTAAACCGTGAACAACTCTTAATACACCTAACACAAAACAGGTCTAAAGGATTGCCTCCGTGACTGGTGGATATCAATGAATAGCCAAGCCACCAACCAAACAACCAATCTACTCCTCAGCGACAAACTGGTTCATAAAGCCTGTTTCAGATATCTGCTCCTTGAAATTTTTTCTTAGGTCATCTACTGGCTTCAGTGAAAATGAAAAGGAAACACTGTTCTCATGAAGCAGTTGCTCTGCACCCTCCCCCCCATACTCCCACCTTGTAGTAATCTCATGAAGAAAAGAGGAAATAATCTTTCACGATAGATTGCAAACATTAAATACCTGTTGACAGGGGATAAATCTTTCATAGCAGATTTGGGATACAGCAGAAAAAAGGGATGATGGACTGAAGGGGACATGGAATCAAGGGAAGATATTTTTGAGATGGAAAATAGGAGAGGACATTACATACTGATAAAAATGATGAGTAAAGAGGGGAAAATGGATGACACCCGAGAGCAAGGGGATAATTTCAGGAGAAAGCTTTTGAGTAGGTGAGCAGGGACAGGATCCAGTACACAAGTGGAGGGGCTGGCCCGCTCTGATAGATATTTAATCACAGCATTTGTCCGGCACTTCCTCCAGCCTTCTTTATTTAGGAATACATCATTAAAGCAAAACTTCCTTCTGCCCACCACAACAGGCCAGCTCTGCCAGTGACACACTATCTACCACATCAGTGTTTTTCAGCAATTATAAAACGTAGTACATTCTGAACTTTCTTACTGAATTACCATACCACACACAGACTTCAAAAATAGCTAGCTGCCTTTGCATGCAACACAGTGAAATATGTATTTTTATTGCTGATTTTTAATTCCCCAATTTCAAGTACTGAGGCTTTCACTTTAATTATTAAATGGAGCTACAAAAATACCTTTAAATATATAACATGTTAAAAACACTTTACAACTAAATCCTATACCCTATCAATTTCTTGAGAATGTTTAAGAAACTACTGCTCAAAAAATCTTACAGCACATTGTATGTAATCCTTAGATGACACAATTAATCAAAAACAGTAATAATCATTTCCCAAAGGAAGATTTCTAGATCGAATTAAAATGCCAAGAATTTTGATGAGTCAAATCTAAAAACACTAAAGAATAACAGAAAAAGAATTAAATCAAACCAGACAGTGCCTGTAACACACTAATTTAACCTATTTCACCTCTGTGCTTCAGTTGCTGTGCCTATAAAAACAGACTATCTCCTCTGGTTCCCATCTATATACCAAGAATATACACATATTAATGTTAATTATGCCTCATGATATAATAAGTATAGGCACAAAGAACTGTACAAAAATCAATTTTAAGTCAAATCATACAAGGGGTCTTCAAAAAGTTCATGGAAAGATTGGTATTATCTTTTAATTCTATTTTTCCATGAACTTTTTGAAGTACCCTCAACTTTAAATACAGCTGCAGATTTCTCTAAAGTATTTACTGAATTATTTTATGAAGTAAAAACATTGTTTACAAAAAACATTCTTTACAAAAAAATTTTTTAACTTATTATCTAGAATATGTAACTTATAAGTCTAGATATTTACATTAAGGTTTTCTTATCAAATGATTAAGGTTTAACCACAAAGTATTTCAATTCCTTGGACAAAGAGATCATATATTAAAATTTGATGGTTTTTTTAAAGTATTATGTTAAGATAATAACCCCGGTCCCAAAGAAGTTTTGATCCTAATAGTACAACAACCAAAAATGTTCAAATAAGTCTGGAACATTTTCCAGCTCTTCAAATTAAGAAGCTTGGTGTTTCTCTTAATCCCCTATCAATAGCCGTTAACAATCAGGACTAATTTTCCTTTCTGTCTCACCAGATATTTGACTTAAAAGATTTAGTAACTGGCTCCCTCACTGGAATGTGAGCTCTGAGGGCAGAGATTTTTGTCTGTTTTGGTCACTGTTCAAATCACACCCCAAACCTAGAATATGGCCTGTCACATTTATAAATACTGAAAGACAGTGTATTAGTCTGCCCAGGCTGCCATAACAAAGTACCACAGAATGGGTGACTTAAACCACGGATATTTATTTTCCCACAGTTCTGAGGGCTAGAGGTCCAAGATCAAGATATGGCAGGGCTGATTTCTTCTTAGACCTTTTTCCTTGGCTAACAGAAGGCCATCTTCTCCCCATGTCTTCACGTGGTCTTTACTTTGTATGTGTTTGCGTCTTAATTGTTCTTTCTTATAAGACACCAGTCAGGGCCGAACCCGTGGCGCACTCGGGAGAGTGCGGCGCTGGGAGCGCAGGAGCGGATCTCCCACCGCAGGTTCAGATCCTAGATAGGGATGACCGGTGCACTCACAGCGCTCACTGGCTGAGCGTGGTGCGGCCGGTCTCAAAAAAACACAAAAAACAACAACAACAAAAATAAGACACCAGTCATATGTCCTCATTTTGCCTTAATTACCTCTTTAAAGATCCTATTTCCAGGGCCGGCCCGGTGGCACACTGCTACAGTGCGCCGCTTGGGAAGCGTGGTGGTGCTCCCGCCGAGGGTTCGGATCCCACATACAGACCGGCCGCTCACTGGCTGAGCCACCTAAATGCAAGCCAACTTCCTTGTTCCATAAATCCCCTCAAGAAACTGCAATCTGTTTTAAAGTTCGAAGAAAAATTGCCACATTGGAAAATTTAAGAGATTCTCACAGGCGATTCTGACTACATGAATTTTCTCCTTTTGCTTTCACAATGGAATCACAGTATCCTAAACTTCACCCTTGGACTAAGCCAGACCATCAGGGAGCTGCTAACACTGAGCTGCCCGGGTTACTAAGCTTCTCAGGAGCTGCAGAGGACACTTTATACAGGTCCCCCTTCCCAGGGCCAGAGGAGACACTTCCCTCCTAGAGCTTCAGTACCATGACTTCTTGCACACCAAGTAGTGTGTTTTTATCTTAAGGACAGACAATCGTATAACTTCGTATAACTGAACATCTGTGTCCCTCCAAAATTCATATGCTGAAATATAATCCCCAGTGTGTTGACAGTAAGAGGTAGGGCCTTTGGGAAGTGACTAAGTCATGAGGGCAGAGTCCTCATGAATGGGATTACTGCCCTCATAAAAGAGGCATGAGGGAGCTTGTTTTTCCATTTTGACCTTCCGCCATGGGAAGATGCAGCAAGAAGGCACCATCTCTGAGGCAGAGAGCAGCTTTCATCAGACTCAGAATCTGATCTTGGACTTTCCAGCCTCCAGAACTATAAGCAAAAATTTCTATTACTTATAAATTAACCTACAAATTAGTCTAAGTTATTTTGGTATAGCAGCCCAAACAGACTTGGACAAACTTTAACGTATGAATCTGGGGAGAACACGATTCAGCCCATAAGAAGGAGGAAAGGAAGTTGCTGCAACTTTCTTTTATAATTCTTTAATATTTCACTACTAAAGTTTTCCTGTAACATGAAATACTGAACATTTGCTTCAGTGAATGACATAATACCCAAAGTATTGGTTTTAAAGCCTTTTCAAAGATATAAATAATCCGTAAATTATACTGCATATTACCTGTCAAGAGGGATTCCTGTTCCACTCGTAGTTCACGAAACAGAAGAATCAAATCAACAGCAACACCAATCGTATCCAAGTTCCTGTATCAGGTTTTTAAAAAAGACAAAATTAGACACAGACTTTTTCTTAAAATTGCATTTCGAACAATGATTCCATGCATGATGCTGAGACTATTGGTTAGTAGTTCCTGTGGCAGGCAGAATAATGGCCCTCCGAAGATGTCCACATCCTAATCCCCAAAATCCGTGAATATGTTTCCTTACGTGGCAAAGGGGACTTTAAGACAAGACTAAATTAAGGATTTTGAGATGGGAAAATTATCCCAGCTTATGTGGGTGGACTCAACGTAATCACAAGGATCCTTAAAAGAGGAAGACAAGAGGGTCAGGAGGAAGGAGGTCATGAACTAAGGAATGCAGGTGGCCTCAAGAAGCTGGAAAAGACAAGGAAACTGATTCTACTTTAGAGCCTCCAGAAGCTACGCAGCCACATCAACCCACTGACATACATGTGAGATACACTAGGTTTTTGAGAATATTATACCAGAAGAAGTACTACAAGCTTGGACTGAAATGCAGACAGAAAGGATAAAAGAGGGCTGTCAGACTCCCAAAATTCTATAGGAAGGAAACCAGCTAATAAAAGTACTTAGCTGCAAACATACACCACACTTCAAGAAACAGGAAAGATGACTCTGAGGGTATAGCTACAGGTCCAGAGGGCACAGCCACAGAGGGATTATTCCCAGGCCTCAAAACCTAATTGAGTTTTCCCAATTAGATTTTGAAATTGCTTGGGACCAGCAACTCCTTTTTACCATTTATTTTCTCCTCTTTTGAAGGGGAACATCTAAAACTATTATCCTATGCATCTTATATTCTGGGAGCAGAAAACTAGTTTTCTAGTTTCACAGGTACACAGAGGGAGAAAATTTTGTCCCAGGATGCATCACACCCAGAGTCTCACCCATAGGTAATTTAGATGATTTACATAATGAGATCTCAAACTTTTTAGCTGATGAAACTTAGATAACATTTTGAACTTGAGTTCATGCTACAATGGGTTGAGAATTTTGGGGACCCTGGGATGGAATGAATGAATTTTGCATGTGGGACAGACGTGAAGGTTTAGGGGCAAGAGAGCAGACTGTGGTAGGCAAAAGAACAGTCCTCCAAAGATGTGCATATCCTAAACCCTGGAACATGTGAAAATGTTCTTTATATGGCAAAAGAGATGTGGTATAGTAAGAAATAATAATCTGGTCTTTGTCCTGGGTTCCTGGCACAGAGGCTCCTAAAATCCTCAGAATTTCTGAAGTGAAAGGAGCATCTTGTATTATTCATAACAAGTCTCCTTTGGCTATATCTGATTTTATGCTAATGAGCTAACTGAGGGTGGACTCCTATGTAGCTTCAGAATGGCAGATGTTTGCCAGAGCAGCCAATCATGTGATTAGAGGGTTCAAACTTTCAGACCCACCCCCGCCCTCAGAGGAGGGACCAAGATTGAATTCAATTACCAATGGTTAATGAGCTAATCAATCATGTCATGTGATTAGAGGGTTCAAACTTTCAGACCCACCCCCACCCTCAGAGGAGGGACCAAGATTGAATTCAATTACCAATGGTTAATGAGCTAATCAATCATGTCTATGTAATGAAACCTCCATAAAAATCCCTAAACAATGGCATTTGAAGAGCTGGATACCCAGTTGGTGTCAGAAATTCAGAGAATTAGTTGGTGTCAAAAAAACAACAGACTTTAAATGTGATTAATGATTTTGAGATGAGGAGATTATCCTGGGTTATCCAGATGGGCCTAATGTAAGCATAAGGGCCCTCATGAGAGGGATGTAAGAGGGTCAGAGTCAGAAAGAAAAACTGTTAGACACTATGCTGTTGCCCTGAAGATGGAGGAAGGGGCCATGAACCAAGGAATGCAGGCAGCCTCAAGAAGCCAGAAAAGACAAGGAAATGGATTCTCTGCTAGGCATCCAGAGGAACCAGCCTGCAGATACTTTAACTTTAGGCTACTAAGACCGATTTTGGACTTCTGACCTCCAGAACTGTAAGATAAAAAATTCCTATTGTTTTAAGCCACTAAGTTTGTGGTAACGTGTTACAGCAGGAACAGAAAACTAATACAGCTCTCTACCTTCTTCACCTGTCCTCAACATGAATCAGAACTAGGCTAAGACATTCACTCCTAAAGAAGAACTCTGATCTGAATGGGTCAAATTCCAGAATGTTGTGTTAGGCCCCAGTTTTAATGGAAGGTAATTCCAGAGGGTCAGGGCTGGTGCACATGTGGCTGGGTGCTCTCTGCCCTCCCCAAGGCCACCTTGGCCAGAGAGCCACTGCTCCTTGTCTATTCACCATGCGTAAGCCTGGTGGGGAAAGGGGCTCAGCACCTGCCTCCCGGAAAAGCAGAGACTGTCCCACCTCTCTTGCTGCTCTTGCTTCTACAAAAATGGTTACGGTTACCAGGCAAATGGACCACTGCCTGTTTCTGTAGAGCCAGTGAGCTACTAATGGTTTTTACTTTTTTAAATGGGAGCAAGGTGAGAAAATCAAAAGAAGAATATGATTTCATGATGTGAAAATTCTAAGAAATTCAAATTTCAGTATTCATAAACAGAATTTTATCGGGATACAGCCATGGTCATTCACTCACATACTGTCTATGGCTGCTTTCACACTATGATGAGAGAACTGAGAAGTTTTACAGAGATCACAAAGCCTAAATTATTTTATTATCTGGCTCTTTACAGAAAAAGCACAGCAACCCCAGCAAATAGCAGTTATATTTACATGCAGAGCTAACTGCTTTGAACAGTGTTCTTTGAGTACTTCCTGAAATTTCATACAACTGCAATTGTTTGCTATGCTGTTACACCCCATTCCATACATCCTTGGCAAAATACAATCCCAGTCCACACAAAGTACAATATCCAGACAAAAGATGTAAAAAGCTCTAGACCTTAATGGCATCATACCTTTTGATTAACTTTTAATAACTTAAAATATCAGAAAAATATATATAGGTTGCCATTTGAATCTTGACTGCCTCAGAAATATTGGCTTTATTTAAAGTTGGCCACAAAGTCCTTACTTTGTTCTATTTCTGACCAGAAAATTACCTTCCGGGAGCTGATGCCCTGAATGGTTGGAATTTTCCTTTAAAAATCAACAGTGAATAATAATACAACCCTAGAAGATAAGAGGCAGAAAAACTAACACCTTAAACATTCATTTCAGTTCAGCCCAACCATGACTTGCATGCAATAAAAAGATCTCATTACCACACATGGCACAGCCTTCTCTCTGACGGCCCTGCCAGAAGACCACTGACATTTTATTTGCCATAGTATTTATTTTTATAATGTTTAAATATTTTATAATTTGCATATATTACTCAAAAAAGAAAAGAAAAATTAATTGCTTTTTTAAAAAGTAATATTATCATAAATTTGTACTATCATTCCTGAGGCAGAGGCAGAAACAATATGTACTGAGCACACCAGGTGCACAGGCATTGTTAGGCATTTTACATAGCAATCTCATTTACAACTCTCAACCATCCTACTGCTTAACCGACTTTACAGAGGAGAAAACCGAGACTCAGAAAGGCTAAGTCACTTATCCAGGGTTACAAAGCTACATAAGGAATGGAGCAGTCATACACCACAGGGCCAGTGCGTAGGTATCAGGACGGTCATGGAAGACTGCTTTTGAGCTTAAGCTTTAAAGTCAGATGTCTGGAGTCAGACAGAACATTCCCAGGCTCTCACACTTATTCAGTGAGTGACTCTTGCACAAGTTATATAACCTCTTCAAATCAAAGTTTCTTCTTTTGTAAAAATGGAAAAACAGCAGCACACTATTTCTTCCATTTATTCTAAGGATTAAACAAGACACTGCCAGTAACGCACTCAGGACAAAGCCTGGTGCTGAGGGCGAGTCACCAGATGCTCACTCCCTTCCCTACCGAGGCTGGGGAAGCACAAGACACGCTTGCCAGCCCACAGCTGAAAGTTGCTCTGCTGCTCTCCTTACACTCCCCCAGCACGCTAGAGCACCTCCCTGTCTGGACAAGGGCAAAGGAAGCTAGCCTTATGGCCAGATGCTTCTAGCACACATAACCGGTTATGTTTTAAAATGTTAACTATTATAAGATTATTATTGTTTCTATTCATTTATCCGCAAATGGATGGCAGGTTTGGTTTGGTACTGAAGTTAAACAACTTTAGCTTTTTTCCCCTCTCCTTTGATCTTAAAAATCTCATTAATCATATCAAGCCTCAGGTATAAGACTGTCTAGACAGCAAAGGGAGCCCCTCAAGTGGCTTCTGGACCAGCCCAACTGCACCCATCAGAGCAGTGACATAGAGGCCTGGAGGCTCTGTCTACATGCAAGTCCAGGAAAGAAAGGTAAGCATCCTGTTTGTGGCTTCTGACTACATTTCAAGCAAAAATTTTTAATGAAAAGCAGACTCCATAAAATCAAAGAGGAAAGATGCTCAGTTCTGAGAGGAGAGAGTAACATGTAAAAGAATAAGAACAGAACTGGGCAACTCTCTCGCTTATTTTTTAACTGCTTTTAAAAAACTGCTCATCATAGGACTGGCCCGTGACTCACTTGGGAAAGTGTGGTGCTAATAACAACAAGGCCACAGGTTTGGATCCGTAGAAAGTGAGTGGTTAGCTCACTTTGGGAGAGCGTGGTACTGACAACACCAAGTCAAGGGTTAAGATCCCCTTACCGGTCATCTTTGGGGGGGAAAAAAAACTGCCCATCATAAAATAGGTGGAAATAGAGCTTGGAACTTTATGAAATCTTAAGGAAAGATAGGTCATATTAGGAATTTATAAAACATGCTTCTGGTTTAAAGTAAACACAGAGGTAATTAAATTATTAAATTTAATTAAAACATTTACGACTAAGAAAAAGTCAAGACTGCACCTGAACTTAAAACAGACAGAATCTAGGAACAAAGAATCAAAATCCAGTTCAAATCACTGTGCTATGTACAGAACCAAATACCTCAAAACATGTTATAAATACAAATAAGCAATCTAAATAACCCCTAATGTTAAACACACTATATTCCCATGTTGTACTGTTATATACTTAGAGACTACAGTGGGAAGACCCATGGAGGACTTCTCCCCTGTAAACGTAAAGGACAGTCTTCTCGTAACAGTGGGTGACCCTATAATGCCCAAAGAATTTCTAACATAAAATAATATGACAGAACCAGCACACACAGACACAAAGAAATATATTCAAAGGTGTATGTGTAAATACAAGAAATACTACCTGATTGAATTTTGGTTCACAGAACACTCTATACAAGCATTTCGGAGACACCTGAAGCATTCTGTTATTAACTGCAGATTGGAAGCCAGATGTTCCACCTGGGATGGATCTCTGCAGGCCAGCTCAACAGCATGAGAAGATTTCTTCAAGATATCCAGGACTCTCTGGAAGATAGTCCTGGGTGCTGTTTCTCTGCAAGAAGATAAAATTGTTACAAACCAGAAAAAAAAGATTCTAATTTCCAAATGTCCTATTAAGAAAACTTCTTTCACCTACTTTTGTGGGGAAGTGGGTTGGGCTTGTCTGTTCTGGCTCCTTAATTTACAACACAAAATAAAAAGGATACACATACTGAGCACTTACTTTGTGCCAGGCACTGTTCTAGTCCATTTTCATGTATTATCTCAAATAATCTTTGCAATAACCTTATGAACCCAACAGTCTTCTCCATTTTACAGGTAAGGTTGGAGAGAAGGTTAAGGAAGTTGCCCATATCAGCCAGTAAAACAGCAGAGCCACAATTACAACCGAAGCACTCAGATCCCAGAACTTCCATCCCTACAACAACCCAAATACTAGTGCAGGTGACTGTTCATGCTTACAGATCCGCCCTTAATCAGAACAGAGTGTCTTCATTTCACGTCCTAGATAGAGCATATAACCTGTCCCCTGTAACCCAATATGTACCTAAGTTCAATTGTGAAAAACAATATTCACAAAGGAGTGCCTGGAGAACAAAGACACCAACCACCCCGAACTTCTATACATTCAACTACATAGATGAGAGCGTGAGAGAGAGACGGGAGAATGTAAAGTGTGCCAGCTCTTCCACCAAGAATGTGTGCCCAGGGAGAAAGATGAGCCTGTGGCTGTTCCCCCTGGGCATCTCAGTCTCTGCATGCCTCTCATGCCAGGAGTACCGCCTGCACTATCATTCCAGAGTTATGAATGTAAGAATTTTTTTTTGCAACGTGGCACCTAAATGCAAGCCAACTTCCTTGTTCCATAAATCCCCTCAAGAAACTGCAATCTGTTTTAAAGTTCGAAGAAAAATTGCCACATTGGAAAATTTAAGAGATTCTCACAGGCGATTCTGACTACATGAATTTTCTCCTTTTGCTTTCACAATGGAATCACAGTATCCTAAACTTCACCCTTGGACTAAGCCAGACCATCAGGGAGCTGCTAACACTGAGCTGCCCGGGTTACTAAGCTTCTCAGGAGCTGCAGAGGACACTTTATACAGGTCCCCCTTCCCAGGGCCAGAGGAGACACTTCCCTCCTAGAGCTTCAGTACCATGACTTCTTGCACACCAAGTAGTGTGTTTTTATCTTAAGGACAGACAACAGAAGTCACATTATTTACCATGTTTTCCTTTCTGTCGGGGCCTTTAATAAGCCAAATTTATGGCCCGTGTTTAACAATATGAATCCTTATTTTTCCTGTGTGGTTTTTCCCTTCTCCCCACCTTCCTCTCTTATCTTTTATTTTTTCAGTTGTATTGATCTTTTAAGGCAGCTCAAATTTGCTTTTGTAAAGGGACAGAATACAAATTAATCAATTAGAAATTGGGAAACCACACATAAAATAATGTGTTTGCATCTTCTTTAGTCAGCTCTCTCCACAAATAGATCTTGAAACTTTGACTCGGTATCTCAGTTATTGAGTGACCAAACAAAAACATGCAAGTTCAAGGGTACAGCACTGATCCTGCCTCAATTTTTGTATGAAACAATTAAGTACATAAGCCATTTTTTGTGACAATATTACCATAAAAAGAACAGTCACTAACACTCTCAAGACAGTGTTAAGGAGTACTAACCACAGTATACTGCAGACACTAAAAGGCTAAGAAAATACCCAAAAGCTGAAAACACTGTGAAGCACGCCAAGAGTGATCCCAATTTCTATGACAAAAAAAGAAATAAAATTACCTTTCTGCCCCATCTGCATAAAGTTTTGATGACATTTATTACTTAATCTTACAGTCAAATAAAAGTAGAACTCTACAACTTGAATAATCTTCAATAATGCCTCTTTGTCCTAAGATGGCTATGAAGCGTGCACGTACTCCTGTGATACAGAAGCTACATGATCTGTCTCAGCCGGTTCTTTGCAATCTGCCTCTCCCATGGGCACCACTTTCCCACTGTGATCTGTTCTCCCTGAGGTCATTCCTTGAAATCCTAACATCTGTTTTACTCAAAAATGATACCTAGCACAGCAAAAGCTTAGAAATCAAACTATGGTAGTATACACTAAACAAGAGAGAAGAAAAGCACTGTTCTTAGGAAAACTGTGAATAATTCCCAATGTTACACGTTAATTTCTCATATATGCACCATGTCTTTATTATGTTTTTAACAAAAAGAAAAATGTTAAAGCCAAGCAAAACAGTCCTGAAATTCAAATAACTATTAATAGCTACTGATGAGTAGTCATGGCAACATCTATTTGGCACACAATAATTTGCGTTTGCAGCATAAGGATAAAATAATTTGAGATTGTCATCAATGTCATTTGCTCTTCCCAGGTGGCACACCCATGGACTGCTGAAAACACTAAGTACCTCCAATCCTCTGTCTCTGCTTAAACATATTCCTCCACGAGTACGCCCTTTCCATACCATCCCCACCCAATTCTCTGCCTGGGAATCTTCTGGCTCCTTTTAAACTTTTGAAAATTCACAGCGCTGGTGAAACTTCTCCACTACTCCAGGTAAACTGGCTCCCATCTCTATGCTCCCCTGGAACTCTGCTCAATAACTTATCCACATGAGAGAACATATACTTATCCCATCTATCTCCCCAGCTAGACTATAAGTCCCTAAAAAATAGAGACTATCTTATTCTTTTCTCTATCCCTAGGGCCCAGAATTGGCCCTTACAGACTGAATTTGTTCAATTCAAGCTTCAGAGATGAGACTGTCCAGGCACTCAGCATGGCCTCTAGCTGCACCACTTCTCGTTATGTGGTCCAGGCACTTCCCAAGCCTTTGCTCTGAGCTGGGCTCTGGCCTGCCGTGAGCAGTGAAACCTGCGGGAAATACTGAGACATCAGCTCAATCTTCCCTTCTCATGAAGACATCCACATATCCTAGGCTCGAAACTTTAAAAATTGTCATATTTTAAGATGTGGATATAATGTAGGTATTTTATGACTGCTATTTAACAAACATCTCATTTCCCCTTCCCCACTAAATGATACAAATGGATAAGCTTAAGGGGGCGGGGGGTGAAAGGGAGTTATAACCCAATTAACTGTATTTGAAATTTCTTGAAAGCAGAGAACATGTCTTAGATGTCTATTTCTCTCTGTAAAATGTGGAGGGAGGAAAAAAAAACACCTTTCCTTTAGAGCCATGTAATAGCTATAGATTCTATTCACCATATTTTCACACAATGTATTAACAAATTCCATCAGATAAGGACAAAGAAGCTTTTATTCAATAACAGCAAATACCATGAAAGCATTTAACTCTCACCTGTACTTCTTCACCTTCTCTACAGCCTTGAAAGAAAACTATTCTGGCATTACAGATCCTAAGTAGTCCTGATGTACTGTCTGCAAAATCTATGTTCACTGACAGGACAATGCAGCTAAATATGTGTAATGATTAATGACAATGAAACAGCTAGAAAAGACCAGTCAATCACTCCTATATTACAAACATTATTAATAATAATAATTGCTGTCATTTCTGCTTTAACCAAACTAACAAAAAATATTCACAAAGACTTTAAAAAGCTTAGCTACTTCACTCACAGAAGGCAGAAAGTACAGCACTTAACAAGGACAATTAAAATTCAACCGTTAGACACTCCTATTAGGTAGGAATGCATACCCTGAAGACAATGTATAAATGAAATGTTACATTACAAAACAAAAAAGAAATCCTTTGAATTATACAAAAGGTAGAATTTCATTTCCTTCAAGTTTGAACAGATCTGTACAGTTTGATTTTTGGCAAGTCCTGTTTGAGTAAAATTAAAGAAAACTATCCGTGATTATATGGAACAGGTTAGATAGGTCTAATATACTACACATACAAGCACTTTACAGTTAATTCATCAAGTGGGGCCTCCTACTGAAAAGGAAACTAAATGCTAGTTATTGTAATGCTACGACTTAGACTTTCATATTTGTTAAAAGATTTATTACAATGCCTTAGATTTAATTAAAACTGGCATATGTGGTTTGGAGTAGATTTAACCACTGCAACTAAGAAAAACTATTAAAATATACACAAGTTCAGAGATTAAAATAATAATCGCTGGTTATTTAAAACCATAAACCTTGCTTACTGATTTAACTGGACTTGATTGAACAAAAACAGAAAATAAAAACATTTTTATCTCCTGCCACAAACAGCCTAAGGCAAAATTTCATTTTTGCAGATCTCAAGTCTCTCCTCTTCCCCTCTTTTCACATTCAGGACTATGAAGCTGTCCCTGACAGCCTAGACCAATCCATTTTGCAGGGTAGCAAACTTTCTGTAAAAGGCCAGAGTCAATATTTCAAGCTTTGACGGCCAGAAGGTCTCTACCACAACTTCTCAACTCCACTCTCAGAGCACAAAAGTAGCCACAGGCGATACCTAAACAAATGGACATGGCTGCGTTCTAATAAAACTCTATCTGTAGACACCAAAACTTAAAGTTCATATAGTTTTCACATGTCACAAAATTTTATCTTTTCCCCAACCATTTAAAAATGTAAAAACCATTTCCAACTCACGAAACATAAAAACAGGTAGTGGGCCAGATTTGGACACAGTCTGGCAACCCCTGCTTTAAAGGGTTCCAAACATACCAGTCCCCTCCCCAACCCCAAAAATCACATGCTTCCCCCTTTCCCACTGTTATCACTTCATTCAAAATTCACCTCTCATCAGAACAAAGAGAATCACAAATGCATTATCCTAAATGAAGGAAGCTAAGAAAAGGTGAAATTGGCAGAGGTAGAAAATAAACCACTAGAACAGAGCCCAGGAAGAGTACTGCACATATATGGAAACTTCACAAATGACAGTGCTGGCACTAAAGATCTGTAGGGAAGGATGCACTACTCTGTAAGAGGTGCTGTAACAACTGTTATCCACCTGGAAAAAATTGAAGTGGGTCCCTACTTACACACATACCCAAAAAGTGACTCCAGATGGATTTAGGAATCTATGAAAGACAAAACTATA